TGAGAAAACAAAGAAGAAAACAAGTCCCAGAAAACTGCTCCCTCCTTCACCAGTGCTCCTCTCTGCCAGGATGGGGCCCTGAATAAAGCACAGATAAGCGAAACTGCCAAAGGCCCAGACTCATCCCTACTGGAAAAATAAGATCGGGGCTGTGCCCCTTGCATATTTGACCACAAAGCCCTTTAACTGGAACTGCAGCTTGGAATCCCATGTGCTGATTTTAATCTTTTCCTACAGCAAAAAAGCAGGAGTAGGGAAGGCTGAGTGACTTGGGTGAATGTCCCTCCTGGGCTTCAGACTCCCTAGGGAGGTGGAACCAGATGCTCTCTGTGGCTACTTCCAGCTCTGAGTATACTATACAGTCTGTCTTCCTGGCTGCCTCCTGCTCATTCTGCGTCAGAACTGTCCTAGCCACCCGCCCCTTGGCTGGGTCAGGTGTTTCCCAGGTGGCTTTGTCCCCAGTATCCCTCAGAAGGCTGCACTGTGCCTCCCTCTCTCTAACACCACCCTGTTGTAATTATCTGTTCACTTCTCTGTCTCCCCTAATCAATGATCTCATTCATCTCCGTAACTCTAGGGTATGCATATCCCTAGCACAATAAAAGGAAATGTTGGTTGAATTAATTTTACTGTTCTGTGGGTGTTCAGGTCTATCGCAAAAGTTATCTGGGCCATTTGGGGCCCCTGAGATAACTGGCCCAGGCCCAAAGATGATAGAAGGAAACCAGTATGGAATCTCCCTAATTAGCCACTGGAGGCATTCCATTCATGCCANGCGGCCCCGGCGTCCGCCCCGCGCACTCACCATAGCGGTGAGTCCCGGGCCTCACTCGGGAGAGGAGAGGAGACGATGCGGGTGGGCGGCTGGAACGGGCTCCCCTGGGGCAGCCTCCCCGGCACCCCCAAGATCCTGTCTGAGGGCTGGCGAGGGGCTATGTGGGCAGCGTTGTCAATGGCCAGAACGGGGTTGGGGGGACGCTGCAGGTAGTCTGCAATGGCTTTGGGGTTTTCTTTTTATTTGTCCCTCCGGCTGGGAGTCAGTCCGGCTAGCCGAGCAGTTACTGAGCACCTGCTGGGGCGCAGCATGAGATTGGGGGGGGCAGTGGGGAAGACAGCCCTGTCGGGGGTCCCCAGCCCCAGAGCTCCGGCGGGAAGGCAGGGAGTTGGGGAGATTCCGGGGAGGCTCCCACGAAGTGGGAAGCCCCAGTGCAATTGCCGCTTGCGACCCTGCGCTCACGCCGAGCGCACACCCCCGGCCCGGCGCTGCCCGTGGCAAATTCTCATTTTCCGGGGAATAAAGCTGACCCAGATGCTTTCCTTCCTCCCTACGTTAGGGTTTCAGACCAACTGTTTTTCTTGGTAGGGTTCACCTGGGCTGGAGAGAATGACAGCTTGCAAGACACTTTGGTCTTTGAAGAAATCATATCAGTTTCTTCATCCCATGCAGAATGCCATAGAATTTAAGATACAGGAAGCCTATAGAGGCCATTTAGTCAAACTCCCATCCCGCCTCCTGTTGGTCCTCTGAAAGGGGAAGTAGATGGGACTGTTTGAGAAAAGTTCTCCAGCCAGTCAGCAGCAGAACTGGGACCTTAATCTCCTCTGAACTGTAGTTTATAAATGAGGGAGCTTTTCTTAAAGTGTAAGTAACCCCAAATGAGAAAACAAAGAAGAAAACAAGTCCCAGAAAACTGCTCCCTCCTTCACCAGTGCTCCTCCCTGCCAGGATGGGGCCCTGAATAAAGCACAGATAAGCGAAACTGCCAAAGGCCCAGACTCATCCCTACTGGAAAAATAAGATCGGGGCTGTGTCCCTTGCATATTTGACCACAAAGCCCTTTAACTGGAACTGCAGCTTGGAATCCCATGTGCT